ACTCAGGCCCTTGCACTTGCCATGCAAGTGCTTATTCTACTGAGCTATCTCCCTGGGCCCTGTCAATTTTTAAAAGAACTACCTTTTTTTCCCCCAACAGAATTATTATAAAATCTCAGTGATGGGCCAGCCAGATAGCTCAGCGCACTAAAGCACCTGCTTAGGCAGATGCAGGGACCAAGGTTTGATCCCCAGTGTGCCATGCCGGCCCCACCCCCGGGGCATGCTGAGATGGTGACTGAGACTGGGCACGGTGGCACGTGCCTATAATCCCAGTGTTTGAGAGGCTGAAAATAGGAGGATCACAAGTGAGACCTTATAGACCCTGTACTAAATACATTTTAGAAAACATTTATCTCAGTTAACTTTTTTTCTCTTTTAGGTGAATTAGATAACATGAATAGTACAGAAAGAATCTCTTTTCTCCAAGAAAAACTACAGGAAATCAGAAAGTACTACATGTCTTTGAAATCCGAAGTTGCAACCATAGACAGGAGGAGAAAAAGATTAAAAAAGAAGGACCGAGAAGGTAATTTGGCCACACTTCCCCCGTTTTTCCAGTCTCTTATCCTCTCATTTCTGAAGTCTCCCTTTGCATATAGAACATTCGACAGTGTTTCCTTTCTCTTTCTGTGACCATGAGACCGGAGGCCGGCAGCCTTCCGTTTCGCTGTGGGTGTGGTCGTGCTAAGCGTGCAGGTCCTAAGAGTTCACTGCCTGCGACACTCGCTCTGTGCTGCACACACCTGTATCAGCTGCACCATCACAGGCACGCTGTCAGTTGTCACCAGGTTCCCCAAAATGGGTCGGGCATAAGGCTCGCTCTCAAGGTGCTCCTGTGGGGCCGCAGGTCAGCTGCAGAACAGCTGTGACACAGCTCGGCTGTGTGGGTTGGACAGCCATGCTCCACGCCCTGGAAGGTGATACAAGACAGATAGGTGGGACATGCGGGACATGCGGGACAGAGTGTGTCTTGGGGGGATGCTCCCCAACCTGGCAGGGTGGGAGAGGTGACCTTGGAGTGATCCCATGGAGCCAGCACCCAAGCAAGACCCTAGAAGGTATGGGGCGACTTAGCTGTACAGCGTTTCTACCCCTAGAGCCTCATGCTCCACCGCAGGGCCAGGAAAGGGGATTAAAGGCCCCTAGGCCAGACTCACCAGGGATCAAATTAAAGCAATGAGAAATTATTGCCAGTAATAGAATCGCAGGAAAAATAGTGTAAAAGCTCTTAATGCCAATTGCTGGAGAAAACATAAGCAAGGGGAATTTATATATTCCTTGTGGAAGAACAAGTGGTGCAGTTACTTGAGCAATACAGTACCTTCCAAAACTGGAAACGTGCATAGAACAGCAATTCTGTTTTTTAAGGGCTGGCGAGATAGCTTAATGGATTAAACACCTGCGTAGGCAAGCGCAGGGACCGGAGTTCAATCCCTGGCTCTACATGCCATGACTGCGCTGCCCTGGGCGGGCGTGCTGAGCCAGCCACCGACTCTGGGAGTGGTGGCGCACACCTGCAATGCCAGCACTGGGGAGGCTGAGAACGGGAGGATCACTAGGAGTCTGAGCTGCACAGTGAGACCTTGTGACCCTGTACCAAATACATCATCATCATCATCATCATCATCATCATCATCATCATCATCATCATAACTTTCTTTTCTTTTCTTTTTTTTTGGTACCAGGAATGGAACTCAGAGCCTTGTACTTGCCAGGCAGGGGTCACACTGCTGAGCTACATCCCTGGC